ATTTTGCAATTTCTTTTTAAACCGTTTTGTAGAGCTTAAAAAAATAAATAATTTAGTATATTGAAGCGCTGTTGTATGCCTAACGGTCACGGAGAAAATTAAAAAATAGTGTAATTTAAAATTCCCATGTTATTCTTATGGAGAAAATGAAAATTGTTGTAGTTTATGGATATATATTGATAAAATTTGGCAAATTTATTTATTTCATCCTATACTATTGACATATAGTCAAAAAACACTTTTTACCTTTCCCGTAACAGCAAACCTAAGCACTCGTTAAATCTAATGTTATTTAAATAGGGGATAAAAATATGTCTTATTTATGGAAATATTTGAGCAAAAATGTAATAAGACGAGTCGAAATTCGCTTAGTCTGCAGGTTTGCTGCGGCGGGGGTATTTACATTAGTTATATGGAAAGTTCGCTTTAGAAATGAATAACGACCTTTAAGGGGATATGCCTCCTTCTAAGACTTTTTTAATTATTTATTTTAAATAGCTTTTGTGGTTATATTCTGTTTCTACTTCACCAAATTAGAGGATTTATATATAAAAAAATGTTATCCAAGTCAATTTTCTGTCACTTTAGAGTAACTTTAAAAATTTTATGATTTTTTTAAATTTCAATTTTGAATAACTTTTTTTGTTTATCAACATAATGTAAAAAAGTAAATATATTTTACTTTCCCACATAACAATGAACATTTCTGTGTATTGAAACCATGGTAACTCAACAAATACAGCTTTAGTAGACCTTTTTACAATAATAAGAAAAATGTTACACACAAAATTCAGATTTTTAATGTAAACATTAAATTTTATTGGAATAAATAATTGCAGGATGTTCTATATACACACAAACCTTCTAAATACTATTAAGAACACCTGGTTAAAATTTCATTTAAAAATAATTAGTTGTTTTAAAGTTATTCAAACTTACGTAAATGGAGTAAATGGAAAACGTAGTTTTGAGAAAACGAAAATCACTGAAAAAATTCTCAAAATCAAATAAAAGTTTGCATACGTGTTCAGTAATAAATAAGGAATAAAAAATTGTTAATTTTTAAAAATGTCAAAATATTTTATAAAAAGGCCTATAGATAGATGGAGGCATATCCCCTTAAGGACAATTTATGAAATAATGGATAGTTTTGCGCAAGGTTTCTCGTCATGACTAAGATTTTAAGTATATGGTTTAATACGGTTTATGGTTTTGATTTGTAGTTTTATCAAAAGGTCATGGGTAATCTGGGATTTATATTTACCATCTTGTTTAAAACAGTATAAGTATAAGCAAATGTTTCAATTTTTATTTGACTCATTTTTATTTACCCTCCGTTAACCGTTAAGCGACGAAACAGCTTATGAATTTTTATTTCGAATAGGCAACTTTTTTGTAATCTAACCTGATTGAGGTAGTCACTCTTGCTGGTGTAGATCTAAATCAAACAATTTATTTATTTTTTCAAATTAGTAGTTCTACTATTATATATCTGGTGTGTTCTACTATTAAGACTTAGTTTGCAGACAAGAGACAATAAATGTATATTAGCCTGGGATGTTTTTTACCTTGACCTTGTGGAGCGTGGGGATGGCGTTCCCCCTCTGTTTTTTCCAATGGTCTTATATATTTTAACACTAGCAGAGCACCCGTCCTTCGTACGGGGTTGGCATATAAGTATAAAATGCTTATTGCAGTTATACTCAAGCTTTGCGTTTGCAATGGGGGGGAGGACACAGTTTAATAAAATATGTTTCATAAATTTACTGTATGATATAGTATAACACATCTACAATTGCCATAATGTTCTACCATTGCACCTACACAATAGAAAAAAATAAATGATCAAAAATTCGCAAAATATCACAAATTATTCATTAAATTAAAAACTCAAACCTAACTGTAAACAATCCTACTTTGACAGTTCTCATTGTGTATCGCAGCTTTTTGTTGCTGCTTGGTTCAAATTAGCTGTTGTCATATATGCACAAACAAAATAATAATAGTACTGCACCCTGTTGGGAAACCTTATAACTTTTTATTACTATTGCATAGTATAGAACCAACTTGTAAAGTTGAAACAGCTGACTAAATTCTTTAATTCCCTTTAAAAATGAATACTCATAAGGTTAACATGTGGAACTACGGACCCACTGGGGCGGAGCCCGAAAGGATTTTTGAGATAAGAATATGCCTAAATGTTAATAGGGAATGTGAGCTATCATCATGCCAAATTTCAGCCCAATCCGTCCAGTAGTTTATGCATGATTGAGCAACACACAAACATACACACAAACTCAAAAACTTTCAGATTTATAATATTAGTAAGATTATGTGTAAGTCAGTTTAGACGATGGCGAGCGTTGCCAGACTGGACATTTTACGACTACAACACTCATCTTGGGGAGATAACTAACAATCATCGGTGTCATCTCTCATAGACCAAGAATTGATAGCTCACTTGCACCAGGAGAGCTTACTTTTTCAATCCATACCATACTATCCAAAATATCAAGAGATCAAGGTGGGATGAATTAGACCCTTGTGAGTAATTTTAAACTGACTTAAAAGACACAATTAATTCGGAACGGAATTTTACCATTTTAACCGTCGTAGATAGTATAGTACCAATTTGAGAGTGAGTTTGTTTCGTTCACCTTTGTAGAGCAGGTGTTGGTGTTGGTGTTGCCATTGTGTGGGGGGAGGTGGAACTGGTTTGCGTCATTTTTGGCAGCGGAGGCGAACCAAAGAGCGCAACGACCGAGAGTTGAAGGTCAGTGGGCTCTGGACAACATACTGGAGTCACTGGAGTCGCTGGAGTCGCTGGAGGCTCCAGTATCTCCTGGTCTTGACACATGCTTGGCACACAAACACTGCAGAGGAACTTATTGTAGACTGAGTTTATCTTGGTAAATAACATATACAACTTAATCGTAGAGAATAAATAACAATATGTGGTACTTAACAAAACGCATTACATGTATCGTGAGACTAGAACATAATATTTTGGAAAGCAACTACAAATCTTACAGTGCATTTTTTACTAAGTAAACACATTTGATGAGTTAAGTAAATATATGTATCAAAACAAATGTACACCTAATTAATATTTGTAAAAAAGATGGGGATCGGAAAGGTTGAGATAATAATGAATTATCTAAAGGTTTGTACAGGATCATGGAAGGTGAACTCTTCGAAAGATAGATAAAATAATTAAAATTTGTATTTTTATTAGTACCTATATTTCCATTACTAATAATTGTGAACGATAACACAATCTATAAAGAGATATTTTGAAATTTATTGATTACCCCATATTCACGTTTTACGCCATTTAAAATATAAAAACAAAAAAATATATAAAATGACAACTAAGAAAAACGTAAAAAAAACTTTCTTAAAAAAAATGCGTACAGTATTATGTTAACATTTAAAGTACACCTTATGATAACACTATTTTTATGTACGACAAACAATCAAAAATTATTACGTATTGAACGATACTATACTATAGGTACAATTGAGCTGTATTTTCCCGCGTTATCGAACATGTGGCGGAACTGCACCGGTGTGGGGGAGAGGGTAGGGGGGTCAAGGTCAGGTTACCATGACGACGGTGAACGCCCGGAGGTGGCGGACGTCGACCTTGCCGCCCCCGCCACAGCAGCCCCCAGATCAATGCCGCCCCCACCGCCCGCTGGTGACCGGGTCAAGAACTGCATCCCTGCGTAACTGCAACGCATCTCCGCTACCACAACAACGACAAGCGACAACATTGAACCAAGTCCAAGAACAACCACGTGTCAGGCAACAACGACAAGCAACAACATTCAACTATGTCACAGAAACATGGAAACGTCTACGTGTCAGGCAACAACGACAAGCGACAACATTCAACCATGTCACAGAACCATCCCGTGACAGGCAACAACGACAAGCGACAACATTCAATCATGTCACAGAACCATCACGTGACAGGCAACAACGACAAGCGACAACATTCTACCATGTGACAGAACCATCCACGTGTTAAACAATAACGACAAGTGACAACATTCAACCATGTGACAGTTGCATCAACCATATCCGTGTTAGGCAACAACGACAAGCAAAAACATTCAACCATGTCACAGAACCAACCAAGTTTCAGGCAACAACGACAAGTGACAACATTCAACCATGTCACAGTTGCAACAACCATCCGCGTGTCAGGCAACAACGACAAGCAACAATTCAACCATGTCACAGAATCATCCACGTTTCAGGCAACAACGACAAGCAACAACATTCTACCATGTCACAGAACCATCCACGTGTCAGGCAAAAACGACAAGCAACAAAATTTAACCATGTCACAGAACCTACCACGTTTCAGGAAACAACGACAAGTGACAACATTCAACCATGTCACAGAACCAAACACGTTTCAGGCAACAACGACAAGCAACAACATTCAACCATGTCACAGAACCATCCACGTTTCAGGAACAACGACAAGCAACAACATTCTACCATGTGACAGAACCATCCACGTGTCAGGCAACAACATTCAACCATGCCATAGAACCAACCACGTTTCAGGCAACAACGACAAGCGACAACATTCAACCATGTCACAGAACCATCCACGTGCCAGTCAAAAACGACAAGCGACAACATTCAACCATGTCACAGAACCATCCACGTGTCAGCAACAACTACCATCGAAAACATTCAACCATGTTACAGAACCATCCACGTGTCAGTCAAAAACGACAAGCGACAACATTCAACCATGTCACAGAACCATCCACGTGTCAGGCAACAACGACAAGCGACAACATTCAACCATGTCACAGAACCATCCACGTGCCAGTCAAAAACGACAAGCGACAACATTCCACCATGTCACAGTTGCATAACCATCCGCGTGTCAGGCAACAACGACAAGCGACAAGATTCAACCATGTCACAGAACCATCCACGTGCCAGTCAAAAACGACAAGCGACAACATTCAACCATGTCACAGTTGCAACAACCATCCACGTGTCAGGCAACAACGACAAGCGACAACATTCAACCATGTCACAGTTGCAACAACCATCCGCGTGTCAGGCAACAACGACAAGCGACAACATACAACCATGACACAGTTGCAACAACCATCCGCGCGTCAGGCAACAACGACAAGCGACAACATTCAACCATGTCACAGTTGCAACAACCATCCGCGTGTCAGGCAACAACGACAATCGACAACATTCAACCATGTCACAGTTGCAACAACCATCCACGTGCGAGTCAAAAACGACAAGCGACAACATTCAACCATGTCACAGTTGCAACAACCATCCACGTGTCAGGCAACAACGACAAGCGACAACATTCAACCATGTCACAGTTGCAACAACCATCCGCGTGTCAGGCAACAACGACAATCGACAACATTCAACCATGTCACAGTTGCAACAACCATCCACGTGCCAGTCAAAAACGACAAGCGACAACATTCAACCATGTCACAGTTGCAACAACCATCCACGTGTCAGGCAACAACGACAAGCGACAACATTCAACCATGTCACAGTTGCAACAACCATCCGCGTGTCAGGCAACAACGACAAGCGACAACATTCAACCATGTCACAGTTGCAACAACCATCCACGTGCGAGTCAAAAACGACAAGCGACAACATTCAACCATGTCACAGTTGCAACAACCATCCGCGTGTTAGGCAACAACGACAAGCGACAACATTCAACCATGTCCCAGTTGCAACAACCATCCGCGTGTCAGGCGACAACGACAAGCGACAACAAAAATAAACAATATCACAAGTAAACAAATATATGTGCATCAATGAACAACTACAACCGGCACTGTGATGGTCACAAGTGCAACAATTATGATGGAGACTGTTACATCACTCAGCAATACATTGCCATCAATAATTAATACCATGCGGTAACAACATGTTGGGAAACAGAGACCAAAGTGCAAATTAAGCATTTGAATTTTGTTCAAAACTTGTTTCTGACGCAAAGCGAATAATGCGTTACCCTTTTAATTTTCTAAGATTATGTGGTACAGTATTACTAGAGTCATTAGGTTAACCAAACCACTAATTTATAATATAGTAAATGTGTTGATATCTACCTTAATCAGGTTACAAATATCAAAAAGGTAGCCTACTTAAAATCCATTTTCATACATTGTTTTGTCTCGTATTGACTGTGGTTATACATTCAACTGAACGATGAATTATTAAATTATTATAATTTACACATGTATGAAGGAAGTGGGTGAGCATCACTGAGTTTAGGAAAGCGAACTTTGGAAATAAAGAGGGGGACCCTAAAGGAAATTCCCTCTTTAGTTTAAACCCATTTTACTGTCCGCTTAGTCATAAGCTTTAAAATAACACCTCAATTCTAAAAAATCTGCTAAGTAGGATGACTGGGAAAGGGATGTAACTCTTATTGCGTTAGGTACTGCTTACCATTGTTAACTATCCTTATTTTGTCAAATTTGGCCCAATTTTATAACAATATGGTCGTCAATACCAATTAGTTCGCTTCCCAAGACAACTGCATAATAAGCGTTATTGTATAGACTACATACACAATGGTATCGGATTGATTGTGGTTGTTCTAGGCATTCAAGTGCATGGCACATTGCGGATGCTCAATTATTAGAAATATTTTAATAAATTAAGTCATACTAACTCGACCGGCTTAAAAAGCATCATGTTTATTACATCGATCTCTATTACTACAACGTTTATTCACATGACAACGCTTAGCTGACAACGTTATCAAATACTGTACCATTTTAACTTGTTGACCCTATACAAACATAACATGTTATTTATTTATTTAAAATTTGTACATCTACTAGCATTTAAAACTTAAAAATGGTAGATTATATGAAAAATGTCAAGAACACTTTTGTATGCATTTACAATTTCCTATCAAATATCAAATTCAAAGAGGTTGAATATCAAATAGGAAAAATAATATGGTTTTTAGTTTGAGTCTAAGCTAGTCAGAATGCGTCTCATTTTTTATGTTGTTGTACATCTAAAAACTGTGATATTTCAGCTATTTGTTCTTAGATATTTTTCAACTTGGTGTGGTTTGACAGAAAATTTAAAATGATCAATGAAAGGGTTTTTGGCATTTAAAAAAAGAATTTGGCATTATTTTTGCATTTTAAACTATATAAATTAAAATGGCCGATATTTCGGAACCAAAACATATTTTTCAATGTTTAATTTTTCATACATATATGGTTTATATTTTATTATTGGTACTTCTAATTGTATACTAAATATCGTAAAAATATCCTTAATAGTTTTGAAAATATAGGCTACATTTGAAACAAACAAAATGGTGGATATCTCGCTTACAACTGGAAAATATGAAGTTCTTGATTTGTGTATAATTTTGATTCATAACACCCTTTATTTATTATTTTGTACTTGCTTACGGAGCACCCTGTATAATATGGTAGTAAAAAGAGAAACAAAACCACGGAAAAATAAATAAAGGTAATTTTTTCATGCAAAGAAATCCAGGGTTTTGACCATACTCGTGCAGTCAGTTAACTCTTACTACTTATCTGTTGTGATTTTTACCACCCGTACTGTTAATTGAAATTCATTATACAGTAACATGAAAAAATAAATTACAATACATTTAATTTAATTTAACTTAATGTTTAATTCAAACCCATTAGCTTTTCGTTTTATCGCTGACACAATTAAAAGCTTTTACCCCGTTACAATGTTGTTCCGCCCCCAATATTTAAAATATCGTCAACACCACTTTACGCTCTCAGGTTATAAAACAACATAAACATCACTTAATGGATCTGCCTCGGCTGTACAGCTTTATCAGCTCCTGACTGCAAGATGAATATACTTTGGTCAAGTTAACATCATTAAAATTGTCGTTTAACTAACAAGACGTGATTTAATAAATTCGAGCCTGGCCTAGTTACCTGCCCTTAGTTACTTGAGTCCAATTAACTAAATACTCAGGATTATAAGGAAACATGCACTGAAACTACTTATTACTATTTCAGTAATGAGTGTGTTAACAAAGCGTATCTCGATTAAATAACTGGAAATATTTCAAGAACGTGCATAAATAATATTTTAAACTTAAAACCTATCAATCAACAAAATATTTCTTTTTACTAAAAATAGTGTGCAAAACATACTTTTACACGAAAATGGGTCCGGTAAGCGGAAAAGTTCAATGGGTGCTCGAATGATAAAGGTAAAAATGTATTGTGTGCCTTGGAGATACTCGAAAAGTCGCAATGACAAATTGTACCTAATATAATTTAGTAAAATAAGTCATCGGCATCTGACATTTAAGTCTAAAAACTCAAATCACACTAAGGAAAAAGAGACCTTGAAGTGTTAGTCAAAATTATAAATGGCGATAGACAAAGGAGAGGAGATCTTACAAGGTCAAGGTCGAGATAGAGCAACTACCTCGAGAGGCCAAGATGGCCACCAAACCTGTGACCAAGATGGCCTGCTGAGGAGATATACAACTCCTAGTTAGTTATGGATTGGCCAGATCAGAAACAATCCAGGATGAATACATTAAGAGTATAAACAATCATAAATTGGTATTTAAGTAATCAATAACAAAATATCACTGTCAAACTAAAAACAGCCATATTAAAAAAAATTAATAAATAGACGTATTTTCACAAATACACTTAGTTTGCTGAATTTTAAGCTAACATTTTACAGCTTGCGTTGAAAAGATTACAACAACTAATTGATTGTTGTTGTGTCTGAATTATATTCTCGATGATTCTTCGAATTATTGGTCAAAATACATATTCAGCAAAATGATTCGTGCTCGTCAAAATATCTATACAAGAGCTTACTTAAAAAATCATTAATAAACAACGAGTAGTGTGCATCTATGCTAGGGTTGAATCTTGAAGTCAGCTATGCTAGGGTTGAATCTCGAAGTCATCTATGCTAGGGCTGAATCTTGAAGTCATCTATGCTAGGGCTGGATGTCGAAGTCAGCTATGCTAGGGCTGGATCTCGAAGTCATCTATGCTAGGGCTGAATCTTGAAGTCATCTATGCTAGGGCTGGATGTCGAAGTCAGCTATGCTAGGGCTGGATCTCGAAGTCAGCTATGCTAGGGCTGGATCTCGAAGTCAGTTATGCTAGGGCTGGATCTCGTTGTCAGCTATGCTAGGGTTGGATCTCGTTTTCAGCTATGCTAGGGCTGGATCTCGAAGTTAGCTATGCTAGGGCTGGATCTCGAAGTTAGCTATGCTAGGGCTGGATCTCGAAGTCAGTTATGCTAGGGCTGGATCTCGTTGTCAGCTATGCTAGGGTTGGATCTCGTTTTCAGCTATGCTAGGGCTGGATTTCGAAGTTAGCTATGCTAGGGCTGGATCTCGAAGTCAGTTATGCTAGGGCTGGATCTCGAAGTCAGTTATGCTAGGGCTGGATCTCGTTGTCAGCTATACTAGGGTTGGATCTCGTTTTCAGCTTTGCTAGGGCTGGATCTCGAAGTTAGCTATGCTAGGGCTGGATCTCAAAGTCAGCTATGCTAGGACTGAATCCCGAAGTCAGCTATGCTAGGGCTGGATCACGAAGTCAGCTATACTGTGCTGGAGCTGTAGGATAATGGCAGCTATGCCCGATCATGATGTCAGGTATGCTTTACTGGAGCCGAAGGATGAAAACATCTGTGCTATACTTGAAGCCAGGTATGCTATGCTGGAGCTGTGGGATGAAGTCAGCTATGCTATGCTGGATTATGAAGTTAGGTATGCTACTTTGGAGCAGGAGCGAGTAATGTATCAGAGGGGACAACGACAGCGAGAGGTAGAGGACAGAGTCAAGGTCAGAGGAGCGCAACAACCCCAGGTGAAGGTCGCAGTCGCGCGCCAGAACGCCCGGAGGATGGCCGAAATTCGACCACGAAACGTCGCTCACGGACACTGGGTCGGGTGTGAGAGATTGTCACTTTCAGCCATTGTGGTTTAGAACAATCCTCCCACTTCCCACAGAGCGACATTACTTTCGCCCCGAAACTGTTTTAGGTGTGGGTAATTTGATATGTAGAAATCTGGGGCTGAAGTGAAAATATTATTGAGTCAGTAGGCCTACTTTGTGCTGTGGTAAATTTGGTAAATTGTGGTAAATTTAGTAGAGGACTAAAGTAGATCTGGCAATTCACATCTTTTCACCACAAAATGTAAATAATCATCGATCAAACATAACTTCTATTGCTATTCTAGTTTCTGGTACTGTTTATACATTCACTGTAACGATTTAATAAGAAACATCCTCATAGAATAAAGTCAGTATGCATTGTATTGAAGACCTCATAGGCGCGTGGTACACGGAGATTTGGAGACATTGTGTTTAAAATTTATGGTTTAAGTTTATAAAATTGGTACTGATATTAAAACTGCTCAATATACAGTTAATCATTGTACGTAAGTTGGCTTATTGTACTCCAGAACATATGAGAACTTTACGCTATTAGCGAAGGCTACTGAACCGCAATTCAAAAATTAGTTCAGTAGTCATTGCTATTACGCAAACAAAAGAGACCTGCACAACCTACCACTTCTTTTGCTATTGGTCGTTTTTTTCGTCACCTTCGTAGAAGCGATGTTTTATTAGAGTTATTAGAGTAGCAGGCTGCAAGATGGCGGCTAGACTGGTTATTGCAAGGTCTAGGTCTAGGATAGGGTACAACAACCTCGCGTTCTCTCTCTCTCTCCCGTCAACCGTCATAGTCTAGGCGACAAGGCAGTCTGCATCGCGAATTTATGTGCAGCATA